GAGCTGTCTTTTTAATTCAAACACTGGCCTTTTCAAAATTACAAATTCTGCAGCATAATAAAATAAATGCTTACAAACAAAGCAGCCAAGAAGTTAGGATTAAATAAGAATACATTATAAAATTTGTTATATAAAAAGCACTATATAAACAAAACAAAATAACACTATCAAATGTATAAAACATAAATTACAAATAAATAAACATAAATATTTACATAAGCGTAGATACTGTAAACATAAATATTTACAGTATCTACGTTTACAGGTAAAGGAAATTATAAATCATTATGCATCCAATTTACCTGAGGTGTTTTATATGCTTGTCCTTGTGCAGCACTTATAAATTAAACATATATAAGGAATGACATTCTCTATAGAAAAGTACTTTTCCCCCTGGAAGATACTTTTCTTGGCTCAAAGTATCTCCACAAAGGCATCACTTCCTTTAGACAGATAATTTTACTAATACATTAACAAACCAAACCTCTTTGAAAATTTATAAATGAACCTCGAAATACTTAAAAAAGAATTTATTATTGAAAAGAAATTCAAAAACAAATTCCAAATAAAAAAAATTTAAATCATAAAAATTGGTATTTCAAATCGAGATTAAATTTACTGCCTAAGAAGCCTGATATTAAATGTTTCATCTTGTTCAAAGTTTATAATTCAGTCTTATAATGAAAAGTAGAAGATATACTTTCTAAGAATGCTTTCTTCCAAATGCGCTTTTTTATGGCAAAAAAGAGGATTTAAGAAATACTTTACCTATTATGAATTCATTTGATTCAGCCATTCAGATTAATATTGAAATTCCAATCGGGCAACTCCCGTACTTCGTTTGATATTTTAACTACCTTTCCTAACTACCCATAAGTCTCATCGTAACTCTACTATTCATCATAAACCGTCTGTTTCCTACTCCTTTCCAAAGCTTATCATTCTTAACTGAAAGATCCGATTGCCCTACTATGAAGTAAAATTAATTTTTTTTTTTTTTTTTTACTGTTAAAGTCAAATAAGAAGTAATGAGTTATCATAATATACATACTTTTTTCAAAAAGAAATTCAAAAAGAAGCATCAGGAAGAACGTGACTGTTTTTATTGAAATTAAATGTCCCTATAGCTTATATACAGTAATGAAATGATTAAAAACTCAAGACCAGAGGACCCATCAGTATCTAGCAATTCAACATTCAATGCAGAAATCAGTAACTGGTAAAACCTTGTCTGGCGGCAATATATGCCCTTAAAGTTGAGGTAAGAAATGATAAAGATTTCCAGCTTCATCCTGAGATAGATTCTGCCAGGCATGCTTCAGTTGTTGCTCCACATCTGAGACATTTTGCAGTGCCCGCATCTGGGAGCGTACCAGATCCAATATATGTTCGTTTGGCGAAATGTCTGGTAACTTTGCTGGCCAAGGAATAATATTAATAGCTCGTAGATAGTCCAGAGATATCGAGGCATACAGGAGTTAGCATTATCCCTTTAGAAAATAGCTCCAGGATGGCGTTCTATGAAGGTTAATGTAAACAGCTGCATGATGTCTTCAGCAGTTGAGCTGTTTATGCCGTATGTAGGATGACTTGGGTCAGGCCTGCTGTCGTATACAGAGATACTCTATGCAAAATCTACATGTCTCATCTAGTATCATCTCATTTGTATGGCCGTGTAACTTACCTAAATTCTTCAATAAAAGCTGGAGAAGGAAGACGAAGCGTATGCACCTATTTACCCCTGGTAGACACCAGGTGCACCCGTCCTCCGTCACCTGTCGTAAGAGATACCATTGCTAATAGTAGCAATTTATTTATGACTTATTTCTGCCGTTAGCAGTGGTATCTATTACGACGGTAGGCCGACGCTAGTCGTTATACTACTATTAACATCATTATACCCCTCTTTTTGTTAGCAATTAGTCGTAAACTTTAACAGCTAGTCGTAGCGAAGCGTCGTAGCGGAAGTGGAGCAGATACCGTTTTAAGAACTGCATTTTAAGGCAGAATTTCTTAAGCCATATTCGTATCACTATGTCTGCTAAATTTATAAATTCTTTTGATAAACAGAAGTTTTTTGCAATGTTTGCAGATAGTATTCTGTAAAGCCATGCCTCGGTATTTTTTAACCAGACGCAAGGAGGTAAATGCACGCCTCCATAGGCAATCAAATTGAATATGTCGCTATACTTTCATATTCAACAAAAGTAACTGCATTAGCTCATGCCGTAATTCTCATAATATTTTAAATGCTATTTTTATGCAGTCAGAAGATAAATACTCATAATAATTTATGATTTTTAAATGAAAATATTTAATGTGCAATATATTGCATTAATATTCTTGCTCTATTTTTTGTAATTTCATATTTCTTGTATTTAACGAAACAACATATTACTTAATTATTTAATTTATGTTCTATGTACGTAATAGTAATATTTTAAAAAAAATTAGAGACGAGAAAAATCTGCCCTTTTTTTTTTTTTAGAATTACCTTTAAAAGATCTGATTTGCTTTGGCGACCATTATTATTGATATACAGTAAGCAGCCCTTTAATGTAATCGCAATAATGTTACCATTCGGATATTGAAATCGAATTGCCGAAATCCTGATCACTCGTATGTGAAAACAAGGAAAATACATTACTTATTGTGATCAATAATCAGTTAATATAATCAAAACACGATAGAAAAACTTTTTTGATATTCTTTCTTTTCCTTTTCGCCATCGACAGTACAGCTGATGGAATATTTTTAACTGAAGTAATGTCGCCACATAAAAGATAAAATCGCTGGATAATATATAAGGATAAGGTCTCTGGATAAGTCCCATATGAAGTATATAAATTACCAAATGAGAGAGACATGTTGCCGAGTAAGGCCACAAAGTTGCCCAGAATCTTGATTTTGATTTGAGGTAACATTTAAGTCTTGGAACCGCGTCTCAGAAAAGATAATAGAGAACTGTGTTAAGCATGCTCACCTTTTAATAAATGATGAAATAACGGGAAGCTGAATATCTAAAAAGTTGTCCAACTGACACAAATTGTCAGGAATTTAACGCTTGGGTGAAAAAACGCTTCAATGAAAAAAAACTCAAGTTGTAGCATGGATGACAGAATAATCTGTCTATGTAACTGTCGCTTTCTGAAAAACATTTCTAGAAACGTAATGAACAGTTCATAAATAAACGTTTTCAGAATAATTCCAGATAATCAACAATTAATGACTTTTCCTCTAATAAAAAGCCTGGTTTTTAAAATTAGATTTTCTGAGAGAATATCTGGAGCATTTATAGCACGTGGATTTTTAAATTTAAAAATTAAATGCTAAATGGAATGGAAAAGCTGGAAATTATAATCAATCTCGTTGAATTTTTGGAACTCCATATCAGTTGCGAGATTAAAATATCTCTCATTTTCTTTCATTTCTATTATACAAAAATTATTTTTCTGAAAAGTTAATTCTTTTATCAGTTGGTTCTTGATAATATGATTTAATAATACATTTTTTTTTTCAGTTCTCTTCCTAATTTGTTGATACAGGTATACTAATTTTTAAAGTGAAATTTTCACATTTTTCAAGAACATTTTCTTGCATTTTCCGTAAAGAAAGAGCTCTTCCTTTTATTATGCATGTTTAAATTAATATAAGCAAGAAAAGCATACAAGTGCTGTTTGTCTAAAGAACGAGATGCCTTCGCGGAAGACATTCTAAGGGAAACTGTTTCGCATTTGGGTTACTCATTTGGGGTAAATCACGAAGAAAAGCTATGCAGCCAACCCATTCACTAGGATTTGATATTAAATTAATCCCTTTGTTAAGCATGCAGTTTTTGCATCTTTAAAGTATTTAATTATGATTGCTTAACCTTCTCTTTTTTTGTAGTATTAAATTCCCAGAAGACGTGACTAAAGTTTTGAATCCGTTTAGAGAGATTATTAGTTTCAATCCAATGCAATGATTCATCATTTGATGCCCTATATAAATTTGAACTTCATATAAATACGATGTCATAATAAAGTTGAAAATAATGTAAGATACATGATAATGATTTTTTCTATCTCGCCTCAATAAACTGTATTTTGTATTTGGTCTGGTTAGCTGATTAAGGAAAAACACACGAGGGCGCAAGTGTTCAAGAATTTAGTACCATTTTCTTTGCTTTAAAAGAGATCCTTTAAAATGGTGCATCCTTGTACATCACAAAAATTAAGGTTTACAATCGTAATTTATTTTCTTAATGTATTTTTTAAAAAAAAAATCGTAGCTATTTTTTAAAACTTAAATTATTAGAGTTTAAGGGAAAATACTGAAAAAGCAGTATATATATAAAGCAAAATAAAATATTTTATTTTATGTATCAGCTTGAGGTAAAACCGTTAAGTTTTCTTTTTTCTATGTTACCCTAATTATTATGGACAAACCACATTTAGCAGCAATCAGTTATACAGAACCCAAACCTTAAATGAGAGTTTCTCCAAGTTCGAAAAACTAGTTTTGGGGTTCAGACGACGATATTTTTTGCAAGAAAATTCAAACCTAAAATGCCTTCTTTACCAAAATATTTAATTAAAATATCAAGTTCTCCTCCAAGAAGTTGAATCGGAATTCATTCTAGAAGTTCATTGCCACTAAGGCATTTATTTTTGTCAGAAATATGGTCCACTTTTCCAATTAAACTAACCCTCTTTTATTACGACTTTTGCCAAGCAATTTATGTCAACCCGGACATGAAAAAATCCTTTCAGCCAGAGCCTCTGCCAAATACGCTACCTTTATTCCTCGGTGAGAGAAAAGAAAACCCCAGGACAACTAAACCCAACTATATTTTTAGATCACACTATATTCGTAGCACTGCACTGTCTTGGTATGCAAGACCTCCAGATCATTCGAAACAACACATTGAGAGCCCTACCATTGGTTGCTGGCACACTTCCCTAAAAGTAAGGGACTTCCGACACATAGCGTATTATTGGCAAAGGGGAGCCGTGACGTCACCTGCAACGAAAGAGGGAGGGGGAAGGACGAAGACAGGCTACTTGAGGGGAGCCTAAAAACGAGATTACTTGAGCCGGGGTTCTTCCTAGCATCCTAGTCATCCACCTGGGATCTTCTCTTTGGTTTAGTTCTCTTCTGCAAAAGATTTAACCATGGTGAGTACACGAGTTTGGATTTGCATCAGTTACTTCCTCCCTAACCCTTCAGTGTCTGCTCTTTATCTCGGATGGTTTCTGATACACTTTCCACAAGAAATTTCACCAAATTCACTAAAGTTCATGATGCAAATTTTTTGCTAGAGATGTACGTTTGCTGTACCAAACATTAAAAATTACGTGTTAAGTAGGTCGTAATTTCGTGCATAAAAGTTAGTTTATTAGTCATATATCACTGTTCTAAAACAAATTACATGACTTTTACTAATGAATCAAATCATTATCTTCCCTGAAAATAATAATCTTTCTAACACCTACAGAAGTTTAACTTTATTTTATTTCCTAATAGTAACGTTAAAGCTAAGCAATTTATGACATGTGAGCTGTTTAAAGGTCGTTAACAAATCCTAGGAAACTAACAAAATTAGTTAAAATATAACTTCAACAAATTTTAATTTAAAACTTAGAAAAATAATAAATCAAGTTTAGAGAAATAGGGATTTTATGCAGCAGTTTCCGATAGAATTCAATTTTAATTTCACTTAATTAACACTATATTACCTGCAACATTAACCTGCAATAAGATTTCATAAATATAATTGAAAAAGGAAATTTTTATCAAAGGGGATATGTACTTCTTTTCAAAGTTTAATTTTGTTTAATTTATTTAGTGTGAAATATATAACTGTGACAAAAATAGTAAAATAATTACTAAAGACGTAAGGCTATTAAGTTTTAATTATGAATTTTAGTACTATTAAAGTTTATAACAAAAAATCCGAAATACACAAATTATAACGTTCTCAATCTTGGCATGCATAACTATTTATTCGAATGTAATATTAACGTTATTTTACATATATTTTCTGCTGCATTTGGTAAATTTCTAATATATTATTTACAAATTAATTTATCTTAAACTCGACAGCAAAGTTTTCGGGTTTTTTTTTTTTTTTTTTTTAATTTTTTATTTAATGTTCCTCTGTAAAACTATATTAACGAACTTGAATCGAAAGCTAATTTCTTCGTGAATAAGAAGCATAACTACTTCACTAGAACAGCCTGAATTTATAAAAAAAAACCATCAAATTAACTCAGACCTGTAATACAATAACCAGAGGTTGAGCGACTAAAGATGTTGAAAACTGGTAATGCGTCCTGGCTGCGAAATGAATGGAGTTGGCTGTCCGGTTGGTTTTTCTCAAGTGCGAGAACCAGTTCCTCTTTCAAAGATTTCCCGCCGCTTAGGCAGACAGCCTTTGTGTGCTTTGTCATATTCCTGTAAACTTTATATGTTTTGGCATGTACCAGTACATATACATATATATCATACAGTAAAGGAATTAAAAAGTGTTCGGATTACAATTTGTTTACTAATTTAGAATATGATTATTATAGTTCGGGGTTAAAAAAATTTTAATTTTATAAAATTGCATTAAAAATGAAAATCCTAGATTTTTGTAAATTTTTTTAATTCCCTGAATATTTCATAGGACCCAGTTTGATTACCGCAAAATTACCATAAAATACGTAACGCTGAATTTGATAATTTAATTATAATAATCATTATAATAATTAGGAATTAATTAGGAATTTAATTATAATAATTAGGAAATATCAGCCAAAAATTTCTGAACCTAAAACCCTTTAAATGCGTTACTCACAGAATAATATTCGCATTTATTAAATACAACGGTAGATTTGTTCGTACAAAACGCATACTAATATTATCTAATTTTTGATTTAAAAAAACAAGAGTATATTTGATACCAAAGCAAACACGAATATCTATAACTTCATCATTAATTAATATCTGTTAATATGATTAATTGAGTAGAAGAAAAACATGGTTTCATAGTAATTTCAAAGCAATAAAATTTTCTTTCTAGCTCCAAAGATTCAGATCTGGATGATATTTTATTTATATTTTATTTATATTCTCACTAAAAAGGTTTGTTTATATAGGCAAAATATCGTTACTTCATTTAATAGAGAAGCATCACAAAGGAAAACAGCGTTAAAATTAATTCATCCGAAAACTGTTAGATATATCAGCCAAAAATTTCGGAACCTAAAACCCTTTAAATGCGTTACTCACAGAATAATATTCGCATTTATTAAATATAACGGTAGATTTGTTCGTACAAAACGCATACTAATATTACTTTTTGATCAAAAATATGTGTCTGAAATTTGGAGATACTTTTTATTAAAGTAATTTTTTCAGTATATAAATAAATAAATTCTTGCTTTTAAGCAAACTGTGCAAAAAGTTGCAAGAATGTACTTAATTATGTCTGATAAATTACGTTCAGAAATTCGATTATAAATATTAGCAATTTTATTTTAAAGTAATGCATGGCTCTTTCTTTTTAATTCTAACATTTTTATAACCATCTTAATTTCCCCAAATTTTAAATTAAAGCATGAAAATACTACTTTCGAATCCTTCTCTACATATTTTACATAATGTTATTCAAAGTTTTATTAATACAGAAAAAATACAAGGATAATGAGGTCCCATCAAAATTTTATATGCAGCTCTTTTTGCTTTATTATTGTCATTGAATTTTTTCATTTTTGAATTAATACAGAGAGAAATATTAGGTAAAAGACATTAACATTTACATCTGAATGCTTTCGAGAATTTTATTAATAATGAAAATAAAAATATTGGTTATCAGTGGTAAATAAAAATACCTAAATCCAGATTAATCATAATTATTAAATTAATGACATGTGGGAGAAGAGATATATAAATTCAGCTTCCAGAAATTACTATTTTCATCTTTGAGATCGTTACAGGTTTCATTTTAGAAAACATTACTTTTCATTTCAATAAAATAATTACTCCGCAATAAATTTAATTATATTTTTTCGAGAAAATATTTCTTTTGCTTGTTGCCAGTGTTCTTTTACAAGGATTAATTTTGTTTAATCTATATTTCTTACGTATCTTTATATATTCTTAATCCTATTCTATATAAATTTTAAAAGTTTCATTGTAAGAAATGATAGACATTTCTATATAGAATTTCTTTAGCACTTCTATTTAACATTTTATTTAGCCCAAAAGAGACGTTAGCCCAGAAGGGCTGTTTTAATTTCGAGATTCGGCATTTTGCCGTTCGATCACTAAAACCTGCGTTGATTCACTGTTTCAAACTAGTTGCCATCAACTATTATAGCCTGCATTTTGTATTTAAAGAAATTAAATAATGAAGAATCTGCATGAATGTATGTTATGTTTCTTCGCAGTTGTGATAAAAACAAACGGTACCTAGAGCCATCAAATTTTGAATAACGTAATCCTCCTCCGAATATGGGTATCTAGAAGCCCTAATTTGGAATTTGGTTTTATTATCTATTTCATATTTTGTCAGACATTAGAGAATTTTTGATTAACATGTTCAACGATTTCAAAGCGAGGAATGGCAATACTGTAGGGGGGGGGACAAACATTTTTATCTCCAGCGCGCGAGACTGTGTATTGGAAATTCTAAAGATAGGCTCATTTTTAAATTATTTTGCGATATTGCTGTTGAATTGAATTTTATGGTTTAAGTGTGAAGAACATGATATTTAATAAATAAAGGTAATACACAAAATGTTTAAAAAAGGCCCCTTTGGGTGTAATGTAAAATCTAAAAGTTTTCAGTTTTTTTTTTTTTTTTTTTCCTCCCAATAAATCCGGTAATCTTTAGAAGCCGGGACATTTTAAAGTATAGACAGATTGAACTTTTTAAAATATCTTCCTCCAAAAGTCCAAATGTCTGTACTTGCCATTTAGTTTCTGTGTGCTCTGTCTTTCATTGATAATTCTCTACTCGAAGAATTCTTTCTGGAAACATTGTTGAAATTCCTCAATTTTTTTTTACAAATTCTAAATCTGTAAGCCTTTCTGGTGTTTTTGTTTTAATTTTATGACAGGAATAATCATCTATACATACCAAGTTTGATGTGCATTAAGGTCGCAGACTAGCCGTTTGAAAAACACTTAAGTGGTGGTATAATAAATACTAGTTGCAATGTACATTCGAAATGTTTAAATTTCTTACTTCTGCAGCCCACTTCTACTGGTTGAATCTTCCTAAAAGACAAGACGAATAATAGATTACGGCAAATTCCTACGACTAACTGATTAAGGAAAGCATGCTTTCATAGGAGACTTTCTAAGGGAAAATAACTTGTATTCACAAAAAGGTAGAAAACCAATTAAGAAATATATCTGAAGAATTTTTACAACTTAAGGCATTTATATAAATGTTTAATAGTTAAACTACATCAAAAGCACTTTTTAACTAAAACTGATAGTCTAATGTTTGTTTATCAAAAATTGCTAAATATCTTGAAATTGCAAAGAAATTTTATTTTATGAAAATCACTAAAACGTAAATTTTCACTTCTATTTGAACGACAAAAATATTAATAAAAACTTTGTTTTACGTTAATTTTAAACTCAATTTAAAAACCTCAATGCATTTCGAAAGAATATTGAAACACGCCGAATTCCTTCTAATTGATTTCCTGGTCAAACTAAAATATAATCTAAATTTTTTTTATTAATACTCAGCATTTAGAAATTTAATAAGAATCATATATCGCCGTATTATTTAACAAATTCTCCGACAACTCGCCTAAAACTATTAACCTTCAAGCCCTTTTCCTTAATATATAAAATAATTTTACAATAGTGTATCATAAAGTATTTTTATTTCGCTTATTAATGAAACGCTTATGAAAAAATTTAACACTTATTTGTAAATCTCAGAAATTTTAAATCACCTGAAACAAAAACTTGGGGAATCTGAAAATCCTCCAAGTGTGAACCGAAAGACTAATAGTAAGTCATTTTTGATACTATTTTAATTGTATTTTCTTAAAAAGCTGTAGAAGTTGCCGAAAAGTGATATTAAAAACCATTTGAGTAGTTGAGAAGATTTAAATTAATAGGTAGACTTTAATTCAAAGCAATAATTAAAACTTCTTGATCTATATTT